GTCACTGTCCTCAAAATGTGAGAGCACCATGGATGACAGCAAGCTCATAACCAAAATGATCAAGCAGAAACAAAAGTGATAACCTGGTGAATACAAATCAGATATTTAGTTTGACAGATTTCTCATAATTTAACACATTTCCTATTTTTCTTATATTAAGTTTTATATATTACATTTACTAGTCTAAAAATCAATGGCATTTATATGAAGCATGATTGACGGTCAGGATGCTACTCACGGATCAGGGGGCTGCAGAGGCCGGTGTCAGGCAGGTGCTCAGTGAGGATGAGCAGGGACATAGTAAAGCTGAGCACCAGAGTGATTTTAAAGGAGCTACGTTTTCCGCCATCCAGTGGCAGAGCAAAGCTCCCCAGATCAGCTAACATGATGAGCACACTGGGGAGAATGAGCGTCACTATTGTGTTGAATGGGTTGGTGGACATAGTGACCTGAAAGAGTGAAGAGTGCTGTATTAGAGAATTTGGAGTCATTGGGAAGCTTTTGAAAAGTCAGGATAGAAGGACATCTAATTACCTGACTACAATGAATCAGAAATAATGGCGTGGTATTGATACTTTTAGTATATGCATTTGCAATGTCACAAATTAGTCACTTCTTTTCAAAAACACCAACAAAGACAAAAAAAAAAAATAGAAAGCACAAAGGCAGATGAATCTGATCTCACAAAATAGTCTTTGGGTTTTAGTTCATTAAAGAGTACAAAAGAACACAGCCTATAGTTTGCTTGTTATAACAGTCAGATGGTGAGTCAATGGAAATTAGGTTCAAAATGATATATCATGGTGGTTCTGGATGAATCTTAAGAAAAATTAACAAAGCAGATTATTTAAAAGATGCAGTCAAAGCCTTAGCAATCCATGATCCAGAACCATTCTTAAGTGTAAGTGGAATATATCACATTTGGCCACTTAATTGGCTATAATTTACAGATTGATATAATGTGGATCCATGTGAAAAAGGATTATTTACAAAATCTAAATGCAAACAATGTCCAAATCTCAAATCTAAATGGATGTAGATAGTAAATATTTCGTTCAGGATCAAGAGTATGAAGCATAAACAGACAAATCTGAGGCAAAATCCAGAGTCAGGAAACAAAGTGAGGGATGATACACAGAATCCTAATAACAGTACCAAGAAGGAGGGGTATATGTTGGCAGTGTTACAATTGAAATTCATTCATTCATTCGTTCATTCATTCATCTTCAGCAACCACATTATAGTTTATCTAATAAACAGCCAATAGCCTGGTAGCTAATAGTACTATTAGTCGTTACCATATGAGAAATCCTCTTAGTATGGATTCTATGCATTGTAGAATTTAAGACATTTCTTTTAATGTTTAATGTATGAACAATGTCTAGGCATGAATTCTAGTGTTTGGAACACAGGCTCAGTCTGACAGTGAAACTTTTCAGTGCAAATCCAAATCACAATCCAAACAAGAGACAAAGATAAAAAGCAGCTGAAAATGAAAACAACCAGAAGGACCGCAGTCTTTGGTAACTGCATAGAGACTTAATTGGCCTTTCTCAAATTGTATACGCCCCTAGCTTAAAACACAAAATGTGGGAGAAATACATTTATGCAAATGCAATCAAAGCAGTCATAAAACAGTCAGATGGTGACTAATCAGTGTAAAATCAGTGACCATTCTGGTAGTTAATATTGGTTGCCAGATTATTCATATAAATATGTGAATGTTGTACTTGAACCACCATGAAATTAAGTGTGAAATGCCTGATACTTTGTGAGTGCATGCTGTCTGCTGTACGAAAAATAAACAAAGATGCTATAAGAGATACAATAAATCCTTTACCCAGTATGAACAAAAAAAAACTTAGGATGAACATTTTGGAAATCAGAGTTAGCTGTTATTTTGGTGGAGCCTGTTCTGGAATAAAGATTTAAAGAATATTATAATTTATTATACCACAGTGCTGTTAAATTCTTAAATCTGATTGGTCAGAAAGTGTTGATTAATTTTCTAAGACAGTAGCTCTGACAGTATTGCTGGCTGTAATTCAAATTATAGGTTTATATCAATGTGCTCTTACTAATATGTTATCATTTTCATTTCTAACATTATATCGTATTTCTATCATTAATAACTGTTAATTCACAGGGACTTGTATAGCAGACTAATAATAAACCAATTTTAAAAATGTGCTGACAAAGAAGCATGTATAATGCTTTCTGTTAGGAGATGTTTATTTAACATTTAGGGAATGAGTCTCCAGTGTCAGCACTGTAATGGTCAGTAAGTTTTCCACTATGTGCGAGTCTTTAGGACAGCGGACTTTGCACATTCTTGTTTCTGCTGTGTTTTCTTGTTAATTTTAAGAGAGAGAGAAAAAAAGAGAGGCTGGTGAGGGAGCAACTGTTTATAGCTACTGTTAAATAATAGAAATAATGTATAATAACTGTTTGAACTGTTAAAAACCATGATGTGTCATTCATTAATAAATTCAAGTTGACATTAATTATAAGCCAACGTGTTTTTGAGTTATTGAGGTTTAGAGGAGACCCATTCAATTCAACTGACCAGTCAAAAATGATAATAATTATAAGAACTAAATATAATAACTTTGATACGGTTGTTATTTCCACTATTACACTTTACAGACCCCTGGGGGTCCCTGGTCCCCTACCGAGAAAATGTCAAAGCAGATCATAAGTTGGCACCTGTATGCCAGCTGTCTTTTCCCCTCTCTAATAAGGAAGCAATTTTTCTGAACCATTAAAAATCTTTCAGCAAACAGGACCTATAAGAATCTGCTCAATATGCGTGTACTAAATGTGAACTGTCATGCAAAAAATTACGATCCAAGAGAACAAGTTTCCAAAGAACATGGTTTATTTGTTATGGATTTTACTATTTTAATTTTCTCAAACAGAAAGGGAACACACATGGTTGCCTCAGTTACTGACAATGCATCAACCCCTTTACATCAGATCTATGTGAATATATACACTGAGAGTGCATATAATAGACAATGCATTAACCCCTTTACATCAGATCTATGTGAATATATACACTGAGAGTGCATATAATAGACAATGCATTAACCCCTTTACTTCAGATCTATGTGAATATATACACTGAGAGTGCATATAATAGATAATAGTTCACAAGGCAGAAAACGGCAATGTTAATTACTGTTACCAGAAATCCAAGTTGTCAACGTTACAAGAATCTGTTGTGGCAAAAGCAATCATGCATAAACTGTAAATGACATCAAGGCTCACATATGCCCAAAGACAGATTTTGTCCAACTTAGTTGCCAACATTTGCTTTTTCTTTATCTCGCTGTCCTTTTTATCCATCTTCTCCACAAAATTCACAATCTTCCTGAGAGATTGCCCGTCTGCAATCATGTCAACAAATTGTGTTCCTGTTTGACCTATTCACAGAGAGAGAGAGAGAGAGAGAGAGAGAGGGAGAGAGAGAGATTATTGTGAAATACACTGTGCCTCTCTACGATAGTCTCTGTCCAAAGCATAAGACAGAAAAACAGAAATGCCTCTATTTTTGTGAACAGTCAAAGTCACTTAAGAATGTGTGGGACAATAAGTAAACATATATATATATATATATATATATATATATATATATATATATATATATATATATATATATATATATATATATATATATATATATATATATATTTTACTCTGTTTATTCCGGTTAATGTAGTAACACTTCTCAGTCACTATAGCATGCACAATCATAGTGTAGATTATGCTTCCAAATACATTTCACAGTGTGTAATTTGAATGGATTTCTAGTTTACACTTTATGTAGCGTGCAAGTGAATAGAAAACTTGCAGCAGGACAAATAAATGTGTGTTTGTGTGGGTTTTTGGGGGTTTGGCTGGTTAGTGTCAGGGGGTTTAAAAATATTCTACAACCAATTCTACAAATATTCTACAATGAATACTTTTCAAGTGTTTTGAGTCTGTAATCATGCTACGTTATTTACAAACAGCAAGTATGGCATACAGAAAAGCTGCACTTGTCACTAGTGAGATTTCTTTCTATAAACCACACATAATGTATGGTTCTGTCATTCCTTCATGTAATTTGTACTTTTGGACAATATTTGCTCAGTCTATTAAAGTCTAGCTCCTCCTCCGAAGGCATTGGGGGGGGATATGGATCTCTTGCGCACCTTCTCAATCACTGCTGAAGGCTTGTTTAATAGATAAGCCACAAGACACAAAAAATCTAGAGAGTGTTTTACTGAGTGTAATCACTTGACACAACTGTCAGCGATAGGGTGTGTGAATCTACAGTCTGGGCTAGAAAGAAATCAGCCCCAGCCTCTATTGTATACTACTCTGTGTATTTTTACTCACTTACTTACCACTATTGGTGCAATTGTTTTTGGTGCAATTGTTTTTGAGAAAGAGGGTTTAGCTGTGGGGTAGCTCAGTGGTTAAGACGTTGGACTATGGATTGGAAGGTTGAGAGTTTAAATCCCAGCACCACCAAGCTGCCACTGCTGGGCTCTTGAGCAAGGCCCTTAACCCTTAACTGCTCAGTTGTATAAATGAGATAATTGTAAGTTGCTCTGGATAAGGGTGTCTGCCGAATGCCATAAATGTAAATGTAGCTTTGCAAGCCTATTTATATACCAGCCAGCCCTGCTTACACCCAAAAAATTAGGAACATGCCCATGTTATATCAGCAAAATACTGCACCTGCACAGAAATAGAGCCAAAATTCAGTAAGTAGTTGTATTTATTCACAGACTATGAATTTCATAATTCAACCTAATTTTTTGACATTTATGAAAATGACAACACCTTTTGACAACCGTTTTATTAAGAAAATGTAGCACTGGTTAAAAACACCAAAATGAAATTTATGAGCTGAATGAGCTGTAAAATATTAATGCTGTAGCTCAATTGAGTTTGACTTTGTACTTTAGTAGAATATGGTATAAAGGTTAAGTACAGAGTATATGCATTTTGTGATATCCCAACTAAAGTGTCTGTTCATCATTGTCTTTTTTGTGTTGAACCTGCCTGGTTTACTCAGCTTTGGAAGCCTGCAACACAGAATGTTGCCCTCCGCTGCCACCTTTGTGAACACCATGGATATCAGCATACTCAGCACCAGAACGACCATGCAGAAGCAGAAGTGATAATCTGGCAAATGGAAATGATAAGAATAGCCTGAAAAATTTGCTTACATTACTGCTGTATGAATAATATACAGTCAACTCCAGAATTATTAATAGCCTTCAACAGAAAGGTCAAAACCTTATACACAATGATTAAAATTTTCTACTTCTACAACTGGTGAAAATACTTAATTCTCCTCTAACAAAAATCATTTGCAACAGAAAACTTATTTTTAAAAATGAGGTTAAATTATTAAACTATATACTCTTCTAAATAAAGCAATATTATAAAAAAACCATTAAAATACCTTTATTTAAAATCTGGGCCATAACAGAAAAGTTTCAACAATCTGGAATAGTTGAAATTTGCCAGCATGAGGACACATGAGCATACCGCTCCCCAGTACAGTGAGGAGGACAGTGAAGGAAGTAAAAAGAGCCCAAAGATGATTTTTTTTTTTTCATAATTGTACAGTTAGGCTAATGATTGGGGTTATCAATTTAAAATCAGTTAGACAACTAACTGAATGGTTTCACACAAAAAAGAGCCTGGTAAAACAACCCAATAAATGTGTCTGAACTTCACCAGGTGTCACTGTAAGTGTGACTGGAATCATCTGAAACCTAAATCAAAACCTAACCCCAAAAAAATTGGCCTGCATACAGGTTAAAGTATTTAAAGTCAAAGTAAAATATGCAGGTGGATTGCATCATTCCAGAATATTATAATTCAAAACCTGGTTGCCTCTGCCAGGAGGTTAAAACCTGGTCATGGATCTATGGATGGATCTAGCAACAAGATAATGGTGCTAAACATACGTCCAAATTAACGCAGAAATTTTTGTGGGAACACAAAAGCTGTGTTTTGGTACTTTCATTCGCCAGACTTGAGCCCTTTTGAAAGCCTGTGGTTTTATTTGAAGAAGGAAGCCTAAAAATATAAAGAAGCTTAAAGTGACCTGGGTCCAAGACACCTCTACAAATGTTCCCAACCCTGTTATACACTACTGGTAGAGGCTTAGTGTTGTTATTCTCTCCAGCATAGGCTTCATCCAATATAATTTTTTTAAATGCCCTACTTAAGAACCCTCATATCTGAACAATAATACTGTGTTAAAATAAAAGTATATTGTGTCTCTGTGTGGGGTTGGGGTTGTATTCAATGTCCTGTTCATAAATAATATAATAAAATCAGCAAAAGGTTTGATATTAGATAGCCATGAATACATCATTTGAATACTGTTGCATTTCTATTGGAGTCATACTCACGTAATAGAGGGCTGCATGGTCCACTGTTAGGAAGGTAGTCAGTGAGGATGAGGAGGAACATGGTGAAGCTGAGCACCAGTGTGATTTTGAAGGAGCTGCGCTTTCCCCCATCCAGCGGCAAAGCAAAACTCACCAGATCAGCTATCATGATTAATGCACTGGGCAGGACCAGTGATACCATTGCTTTAAAGGGGTTGCTGGACATAGTGACCTTTTTCCAGTTGGAGTTAGAAGGTGAAAAGACAGAAAAAAAAGGTTTGGCATTAAATGTCTTGTTGTATTACTGGTCAAGGTCAAGGATTAGTGTTTCCTTGACATGTTCCTACACATGTGATTACTGGGTACTTTTAGAAATAGACTATTTGCTATTTGTACAGGACTTCATTGTCAGAATAAATAAATGATTTACGTAGATATAGTTGTGGTTGTTTGTGTTGTTTTCCTGTTTGAGGTTCACTGACACAGTGCTCCATTCAGCTCCTTCATTTCTTAGTGCAGATACTGAGCCATACTGGATATGCAGCCCACAAGCTGAACCACACAAATATGATAATATTAGTATTAAAAGCTTACTCACTTTTGTCATTCGTTAAGAAATATGATAACACACACTAAAGATCACAGTTTTCAGTATGCTTACAACTGTACATTTATGAAGATTAGACTATATTGAGTGCAAATGTTACAATTGTATGCAAAGTTTGGGCACCCCTGGCCAAATCACATATTTTGTTGATTAAAGTGTAAAGAAGTAAACACAATCTCTGCAGCAAAGTATTTTAAGAAATGTCATTTTTCTGCAAATGTTTCATGAATTTTTTTTTAAAGTAATTATTCGCATGTGCAAAACACACTTCCAGTTGTAAAGTCTCCGAATTTTTTTACTCATTAGGCTTTAATTGACTCATTAGGACTAGGATTGCCGAGGTCAAGAATTCACATTAATGAATTGTCATCAGAGCGAAATAATTTTTTTGACCCTTCAAACCTTGTCCTAACACTGAACAACTAAGCGCTCACCTGAGCAGCTGACTGAGGATCAGAAAACGGATCTAACTGATGCCTACAAAGCTGGGAAAGGCTATAAAAAGATATCAAAGCACTGATATGTCATTAAGAAATGTCACTTAGAAATTGCAATTATGGGGATCTGTGGAAGTCAAGGCAAGATCTGGAAGACCAAGAAAACTCTTAGATAGAAATGCTTGTATGCTAGGCAGAAAAACAGCAAAATCTCCAAATGAGAGCAAGGACGTGCAGGAACGTTTAGCTGATACAGCAGTGGTGGTGCACCATTCTACTGTTCAGCTTTGCTTACCCAAACATGATCTGCATGGAAGAGTCATCACAAAAGTAAGCAAAACATCACATAGCTAAGTCAGAGGCATTTTGGAAACACATGCTGTAGACTGATGAAGTAAAATTGAATTCTTTGGCAACAGTCACCAAAGGTATATTTGGAGAAAAAAGTGAGCAGCATTTGATTAAAAGAACATCTCGCCAACTATTAAATTTAGGGGTGGATCTGAGGGTAGATCTTAATCTGTCCTAATCTGTGGGTAGATATTAAACATGCTGTGCATGCAAGATGGCCCAAGAATATCTCAGAACTAGAAGTTCCTGCAAGGAAGAGTGAGTGCAATTTCATTAAACAAGAACAGAAAGACTCCTAGCTGGCTATAAAACAAGTTTGCATGCTGTGATATCTGCCAAAGAAGGTGTTACTAAGTACTGACTTAGTAGGGTATCCAAACTTTTGCACATGCTACAAATACTTTTTTAAAGTAACTGTGCAGAAAATGTTTTAATAGTTTGCTGCAGAGATCATGTTGACTTCAAAAATCAACAAAATTTGTCTTTTGGTGAGGGGTGCCCAAATTTTTGCATACAACTGTATGTAATTAGGGAAAGGCGTTAGTGAGGTCAGGCACTGATGTTAGGCAACAAGGCCTGGGGCGCAGTCTGTTTTAGAATTCATCCCAAAGGTGTTCAGTAGGGTTGAGGTCAGGGCTCTGTGCAGGCCACTCAATTTTTTTCACTCTAACCTTGGCACACCATGTTTTCATGGAGCTCACTTTGTGCACAGGGACATTGAGAAATTATAGTGTTAAGAGAAATTATAATGTTACAGCAATGTTACAATTACATCCTATACATTTTTGTGTATTTCCAACTTTGTGGCAACAGTTTGGGGAAGACCCACCTATGGGTGTGATGGTCAGGTGTACACATACTTTTGGCCATATAGTGTATATACTATGCCACTATACTGTACTACTACTATACTTTTCAGACAAATGTCCTTCATCAGCTGTGCCTGCAAAAGGCTTCTGATGCTGTAGGAACTGAAAACAATTGACTTTAGAAAATCATAAATGAATAAGGATGCATTATTTGATTTGAAGGGGTAACAGATTTTTACTTTCATACGTTCATACTCTCTAAGGGCACGAGTACGAAGCTTGCAGCACAAAGACACTAGTCACGTTTACATGGACACTTTTTGTTTCAATCGGAATGAAATCAATCAGATTGATTAATCCGATCGCAGTGTTTACAAGAACACTGAATAAAGTAATCAGGTTGATATGCGCGTTTACATGACAGAATCTTCTGACATGCGCACAGTGCACGAATACACGTTTCCCGCCGTTCCAACATGCAGATACTAGCAGCCACTCTCTTGCCATTGCTTCTTTTTTTCGTTTTAAAAAGCAGACTTAACATTTGCCTATTTCAGCTGCTAATTAGAAGACGACGAGCGCGTGATGTTTTGTGCGGTACTGCGTGTATTTATCAAGCAATTA